GGCCGATTCTCTGTCAACTCAACCGGTCAAAATTTTTTTTCTATATCTAATACGATGAAAACATTGTTTGGGATGTCAGGAATGTACAAAAAAATTTATAGAGCGATTGGGGCCTTCTATTACCCTTATTGAGAATTCGAGAGTTGGCCTTTTTCGCATTTTTTTCGTTATTTATCAAAGATCGCAAATTTTTCAATAAGCTCTAATTCAGTGTAGAATGACTCAAAAGTAAAAGTGCCCAGGAGGTTTTTTGTTAGAAATCGTCCAAATTTTCAGAAAAAATGGGTCCCAAAGCGATCTAAGCACTCTGGAGGCTTCTACAATCGAAATAGTCGAAAAAAAACGAAAAACACAAAATCTAATCAAGTATGATCCGGACTTTCCTTTCTATAACTAATTAAGAAGCTTCCCCAACATGTCAACTACTCCCTTGTAAGTTTTTGTAATGGTTTGAGCCTTGGTTTGCTCTGGAGACGCATGGATGTGTCGAAAAACGTGCAAAAAAGGCCCCTAAAGCAGAGTATCGCCTTAGATCTTTACACGTTACACATGCTAGGCAAACTCAAACCAAAATCGTAAGTACACAGACTTAAAGAGCATAAAATTACCTTTAATTTGAGATATATAAAAAGTCTCTGAGTCCTCTAGAACCGAAGATACAGCTGTTTGAAGTTTCACTGAGAATTAAAGCATAAAATCTTGCATTTTCATACACCACTTGACATGATACTTGAATGTTCAGTAAAACTTTAAATAGCTGTATCTTTGGTTCTAGAAGACTTAGAGACTTTTTACATACACCAAATGAAAGGTAATTTTGAAGAGCACAAAATTATCAAGGCTGTATAACTTTGTATAGGGTTTATTACTTTTTTACTCAAGCGGCATTATAAAACATGTAAGCTCTTGAGTCGGAGATAAAACTACATTTTTTTTTGTTTTTCAGTTTCCTGCATTTTACACATGCAAGACAAAAATAGGCCGAAAAAGTAATCGTATAGCCTTAAAGAGCACAAAATTACCTTTCATTTGGTGTATGTAAAAAGTCTTTAAGTCTTCTAGAACCGAAGATACAGCTATTTAAAGTTTTACTGAACATTCAAGTATCATGTCAAGTGGTGTATGAAAATGCAAGATTTTATGCTTTAATTCTCAGTGAAACTTCAAACAGCTGTATCTTCGGTTCTAGAGGACTCAGAGACTTTTTATATATCTCAAATTAAAGGTAATTTTGTGCTCTTTAAGTTTGTGTACTTACGATTTTGGTTTGAGTTTGCCTAGCATGTGTAACATGTAAAGATCTAAGGCAATACTCTGCTTTAGGGGCCTTTTTTGCACGTTTTTCGACACATATTAGCGTCTCCAGGGCAAACCAAGGCTCAAACCATTATAAAAACTTACAATGGAGTAGTTGACATGTTAAGGAAGCTTCTTAAATAGTTATAGAAAGGAAAGTCCGGATCATACTTGATTAGATTTTGTGTTTTTTGTTTTTTCTTGGTTAATTCTATTGTAGAAGCCTCCAGAGTGCTCAGATCGTTTCGGGACCCATTTTTTCTGAAAGTTTGGACGATTTCCAACAAAAAACCTCCTGGGCACTTTTACTTTTGAGTCATTCTACACTGAATTAGAGCTTATTGAAAAATTTGCGATCTTCGATAAATAACGAAAAAATGCGAAAAAGGCCAACTCTCGAATTCTCAATAAGGGTGATAGAAGGCCCCAATCGCTCTATAAGTTTTTTTGTACATTCCTGACATCCCAAACAGTGTTTTCATCGTATTAGATATATAAAAAAAATTTTTACCGGTTGAGTTGACAGAGAATCGGCCATATATGTAAAGTAAAAAGTTTGCAATATGTATGCTGTCGACATTATACCTTGCTTTATACATAAACAATCAATACTGTTAGGGCTACTATTATTAAAAAATCACAAAACCTCAAGTAAAAAATTTTTGACGCAGTAGCAAAACGGTTGAATTATATATTGTGAAATATCATGAGTATTTTATTTGGCTGCTGTTCAGTTTTTTATAAGATTGGTGTTGTAGTTATAATTATTTTTAGTTACTCTTTGTTTTAGACAACATATTTTGATAAAGATATCGAGTAACATTAGTCCTTAGATGTGCGCATATCCTTAAGCTCACACTTTTTTCTTAAAAAGTCCTCGAAAAAATCTCAAAAAAATTGTACTTGTTTTTGAGGAATCATACGAATTTTTTGATCCAGGTGTTTTTTTCGTTTGTGTTATTTTTTTTCTTCCTTGTATCCAAAGGATTTTTGTCAAATATCGTACTCAATACGTTCATGCACTACTCATATGTGTTTCTTAGGATCGCTCTTGCATCCAAATAATTTAAGGAATCTGTAAAATGTTAAGAAGCAAGTTGCTCTTCAAAGAATCGTCAGTGGCTCATTCTAATCCTTTTCGTTTCTTTAAAAACCCAATGGATGCATAAACTCTCGCGAGCGAGCTGTCTATTTATAGTTCACGGATTCGATTTGTTTTACTTCGCATAAAAAGCGTATAAAATTCATCATTCCCCGACTATAAACGAAACAAAGTCCGAGTTTTATCGGCCCCCGATACGATTTCTAATGCATGCGCGAAATATCGTTGAAAAAAAAGCTGCCGATTTCCGATATCAGTCGCTAGGTGTTGCGCATGCACGCACAGTCGATACGCGCGCGTGCTTAATCATCTCTATCCCGCAGCGCGTTGACTTTCTCTCGATAATAAAATGCGTTTGTACGTATTAACATTGTTCCGCAAATATAATCGTCGTTTACGAGCCAATGATCGTAGAAAAGAAAAGTTTTATCGGTTGCTTTATATTTCGCCATAAAAAAAAAACGTATACGCGGAGAGAATTGCGAGCTGAAAAAAATCTATAATAACACGTCTCGTAGACGCGCGCGCGCCTACATTTTGTGCATTCGTAATCGATTAATTAGCCTATCGAGACCTGCACTGCGATAGATTTGCAACATCGCTAGGCTCGATGATAATAATAGAGATAACGATGTGCTCGTGGCATGTAAACGAAGTTATCCTTGCGAATGATACGTTCACAATATTATTTCAATAAAACGAGTTTAAATCGAGCAATATAATAATTACTCTCGTAGTATTTTAACGAGTTTTTCATGAAATAATAAATTCTTCGTGCCGTACAACACTTGCACTCTCGTATAGCGTAGACTCGTTTTTCCTATTTTTTCGCTCGCCATTTTCTCTATGCACACGCACGTTGAGCCATGTAGTTTTCTGTACATTGTACGGTGTGGTATGCGCCGCGAAACTGGTCCCGACTTTTACAACGGCGATCAATCAAAAATTCTTACAACTTCCAGTCGTTTTCAATTTTTATACCACTACTGCAACTGCGATATAGCCTAGGTAGACGCTAACGATGGGTTGTATTCTCGCTCTATAAGTCGAGTGTGCAGCAAAGCTGTCTTGTGCGCAGCTGCTGCCACCGCATTAAATATACACACACATACGCACGCGTACGTGTTCGAGCTCGCAAACCCGAATGCTTATTGGAGTATGAATTTTCGTCGATTTTGTTGGGCGAAATAGAAAATTTATTTAATATTATGCTTTTCCGTGAGCACAACTTGCGCACGTGTCAAATGCGATGATCTGCCTTCCACATGTAAATATATACACGCGCTTGTGGTAAAAAAAAATTAATTTTCTACACGAACGATCGGTACTTGGCTGATATGCAGTTTACGTGTTACACGCGTCGCGAGATTCCTGCGCACAAATGGGAGGAGGACGTTGGTCTCGTGCGCTGATGATCCTTATAAATATAAATACCTATAGAGCAGTGCAACATTCGCTAATCACTCGGCGCAAACTGTTAGATAGAATTCGCGGAAGTTTCTTTCCAGCGCTGCGCACGGAAAGCTATTCAGTAATTTTCATGCCTCTATCCTGGGCGCTCGTTTACTGCGGCGGCGGAGGCGCCTCGCTGCGTTATATATAGGATATCACGGTCCTTCCGTTCCGAATTTCTCTAAGCTAGGGCAACGAACTTATAAAAAAAAAAAGAAATATACAATTACACGGGCGCGTTTTTCGTCTTGTGCACCGTGACAACATTAACGATTGTCCCCAGCAGCGACGACACACCTTAAAAAAAAAAAAGAACCGAGACAACTTCTGTTTGCTCCATTTACTCTCTCGCGCTCTCTGCATTATAAGTATTGAGTAATGCAGATTCGGTACTTACCTTCGACGTCGTGAACCGAGACTCTAGGCCTAGCTTTTATATGCAAGTTAATAAATATGTAATTATGTGATCGTTCGAGTGGCTCCTCGCGCGTTGGCGCACACAAAAAAGAAAGACAATGAGAATAATCTGAGCGGGGCTACTGCGCACGCCCGAGCAGGTCTTTAAACTCGTTCGACGTTTTTTCTTTATTATTTCGGTCGCGGTTTGTAACTCTGACATATTATATGCAACTATATATACTCGACGTTTCGATGTCTTAAAAACGTGTTTCGATATAGCGCAATTTTTTGTTTTCAATCTTTTTCTTTGTCGTTGACACAAAATGAAAAATATTCCTTTCCAGCACGTTCAAATATGTTAGAAAAATAAATTCAAATATTTGACATTGTTACGAAAGATAAATAAAAATAATTTACTGTTAATTATCAACAAAATACCCATGTCTAAGAACTGGCTAGAGGAGGCAATTTATGGAACTCATTATTTTTAAGTGCGTTAGGCTTTTAGGAAATACGCGGAAAGCGATTGATTTAATCTTCATTCTAAAGGGAACTCCCTGGTGTAATTTCAAAAGAAACAAATTTCAATTCAAAAATTTCCACAAAAAGCTACTTTACAAACGGATCCTTTATCAAACCCGATACAATTGCCAATAAAAACTTGCTTCGGCAAGAAATTAAGCAATACATAAAAGCCACACGTTTAATATACTGTGCAAAAAAAGAATCAACGTTGATTTTCTCTTTGCAGGACGTGATGAGCGAGTACGAGCGTATCAAGCGTTCGTGCTTGAAACGCGGCGAGCTGTGGGAGGATCCAGAATTTCCTGCCATCCAGGCCTCGGTCTTCTACCATCAAGTGCCGCCCTTTCAATTCCAATGGAAGAGACCAAGAGTGAGTATTACATTTATTTATTTACCATTTTCTCTTTTTTTCCATACGCTAATGTACGAATCTAAATAAATCATTTCGCGGAAGACGTAGTACGTGTAGCGTGAGTTAGGATGAGGCTTAATTTATCGAAAATTATGGAAAAATGCCGATGGGGCTGATAATTACGTAATATATATGATATAACTTATAGACGCCAAGGATTTCCTTTCAAATTAGCTTTACACACATACGCAGCGCCACGTAAAAGTGACAAAAAATCCAATTCCCTTATTGCGCTTCCTTGCATATAAACCTACACGCGCACACACACACGAGCCTCGCCTGCGCAGAGAGTAATTGTGTATATACGACTCGCACATACACAAACACTGGCACACAGCATAGCTAGATAATTTCATCCGGTTGTAAACCGTAATCACAAATATGAGCCCAGAGCAGCGCAGCAACAGCACAACGTGAAAAATAAGGTAAAAATGAACGAGAAAAGAAGAGTCTCGATGCATGCGATGGTGATGATGGCGGTAGTAGTGTTGGTGGTGGTGGTGGCATTCCAGTTTATGATGACTACTACCGGCAGCTCAGGCAACGAACGTGGCGAATTCGTGCGTAATTGCCCCCCTTCGCACTGCGCGCCACGGTGCACGTGTACCTACGTGCGCATTTCGCGATTTCTTGGGGTAGATTCGAGGCAGAGGCGCTCGACCTTGAGAGGAAAATTATTGCGCCTCTCTTGAAACGCATCTGGAGCCTTGATGGAAATTAAACGCGCGCGACCCGAGTGGTATGGCCCCCTTAATGAGCGGCCGCTCGTGAGAGAGAGAGAGAGAGAGCTCAACCTTTAAATACGACGACGCGCGCCGAGCGTTGATGGACAATTTTATACACACGTACAGATAGGATACACGAAGTTATGGTCCTTTCAACGTTGATTAATTTTTTTTCGAGCAAAAAAATTATACGTACTGGACAATGGGCTACTGTGCTGCGCACACACATTTTTTTCTCGGCTGTTTTTTCTTCATTGTATTATAGCCGCGAAGAGCATCTCTCCATCCAACCTTTATTCGTGAAACGTAATGAGCTCTCTGAGCTCTTGACTGGGTACTGTATGTATACCGATTTATGTGTAACATTTAGCCTCGGTACATAATACAGAACAGATGCTCGCTCGACACTAGGCCTAGAAGGAAAAGAAGAAGTAGTGGCTTATATCCTCGCGGCGCGAAGACCGTTACGATAATGACGTTTTCGACGAGACGACGATAAAAACGAGACATGACGGCTATTGTTCCTCTCTCTCTCAACTCCGATTAGGAACTAAAATAGGCAACAACAACGGCAACGGCACGCGCAAAAAAGGTTAAAAAAAAGTAAGTAAAGGAGGAAGATAAGAGAGTTGACGCGCGCGTGCACGAGCTTCGGAGAGAGAGATTTGGCGCGTAAAAACCCGCTGAAAACGACGGTAGAGAGAGAAAGAGAGAGACGTGCGGCGTGCGAAACACGATCGTCATCAGTGTCGGCGGCCAAAGCTCGAGCTAGCATCGATTTTCTGTAATAAGCGCGGAAATAAGCCCACGACTCGGCGCGAGAGAAGAGGTACGCACACGATTCTGCAATTTTAGGTAAAGCCCCGTTGCGGCGTACTGGTGAATTACGGCTCTTTTCGCGTACATAGTAAAGGAAATATCGAAGCTTGTGGAAAAGGGGGACTCTTGTTATACGACGACGATAAGCGCGTTAAAAAGTAACGAAATATGTAAAGTCGCGCGAGAGATGCGTCGAAAAATTGCAAAGCTGCCTCAGATTTTATCATATATATATATATATGGTGTACTATACTCGCGAAAAACAAAGGAAACCTTAGACACCGTACCGTGTGTGTGTGTGTGTGTGTGTGTGTGTGTGTGTGTGTGTGTGTGTGTGTGTGTGTGTGCATACATATTCGCTTAGCTCGGAGCGAATATAAACTTTTACCGAGGCTGCGGAAAACTTTCACTCTTGGATCGTCCACATGCGTGTATGTATACACAATGCACCGCGGCAGACTGCATAAATACAATATACATATGACTGCACCGAGGGGGGAACGTCTTGCTCATGCTTTGCTGCGGCTCTTTTCATAACTTAATTTTCCGGAACGAGATTAATATTTTATTTCAGCTACGATAAGGCTCGTTTAATCTATTAATCGAATGAAATGGCTTAATTTTTTTTTATGTCGTTATGTTTGTTCTCTTTCATTCGATTTCTAATTTTAGAGTTTTGAAAAGTGCAATGTAAAGGGAAAGAAAAATCCAGTAAAAAAAATTTTGAGTTCAAGGTTTACATTCTCCCTTTAAATTATCAAGACCAACTTTGATAACATAACACAAATGACCAGAACGGTCTTTCGTCGTCCATAATTGCTTGCATCTGTTCAGGGGTATATTCTATCATATCGCCGCCAAAACTCATTCGGCCGTTTCGCACATCTTCCAACATTTTGTTGACTTCCTTCATTTCATTATACATAAAGCTGTAACCACCGAAACCATTTGGAGGAGGATAAAGATCTGGATATTCGGTGATCCAAGCTGCTGATTTTTTACACAATTTAAAAGTGATAAGGGGTCTGTTCCTATTTTCGCTCACTATTACATACTATAGGTGAAGATTTAATTTTACAATAAAAAATGAAAAAAAAGTTAGTTGAAGTTATTAATTGAAATGTGAGCAGTAATAGGGCTTTGTTGAAGGGACAGAACTCTTATACGGTTAAAAGTAATTATTACTTACACGAAGAAAAATTTTGACATTTTTTTATTTGGCTGTGAACTCGTTTGAACTGTAAAGTTTTTTCAACTGATAAATGCTCTCGGATTGGCGTTCGTATTTATGCAAAAATTTTAATCAATTATCTGTTTTATTGGGGATGCTTTAGAGGTAACTAATCAAAATTCAGTTCCAAAATAATAAACTATTTATTACAATCGACTTGTTATAATTAGATACTTCAGTAAATTTTTCATAACACATTCGTAAGCTCTAATTAAGTATACAAAATGAGTAGAAAGGTAAAAATAAAAAAAAGTAGTAAAATATTATTTGAATAAATTTGACACCGAATGAGTGCATCCGACATTGTAACAATTCAATTTCGATATGTATTGAAGGAGCGCATAATAGCAGCATATACTGTCACAGTTTCATTGTAAATTGCATAAAGCAAAGCAAAAAGCTATACCATCGTTTATACTTCAAATAGCAAATCCAACTCGTAGTACATTTTAATGAGAATGCGTTACAGATTAACAAAAAATAAAATAATTACGATCGATTATCATTTATAATGCAATATAGACTTTCGTATCTAATGAAAAACTCAAATCGCATCTAATGAAGAATTTCGCGATACTAATCAAGCGAAGCCGATTTATTTATACCATACATCCCCCTTCCAACACCAGGGCATTAAACAATTAATTAACGTCTCATTAAAGGAGACCACGACGACTCCTTTTTTCGTTAGCGAAAGAGGCGGACGCAATCGCGCGAAGGAAAAGCCATAGATTGTCTCTTTACCTTTCTCTCAGTATGTACATTAAGTTCGTCGCTCAATTACCCAAGAAAAGATAAAATTACGTCTCGACTTTCGATTTTGTTTAATTAACCTTTCTCTAATGTTCCTGTTTTTTTCATTTCCTCTCTTTCTCTCTGTGCAGGAACTGTGCAATCGGCCGGTATTCGTCAGCGATACACCGACCCCCTTCGACGTCATACCCGGCAAACTTGGTAAGTACAGTATAATATATATAAAATGCATAAATCTTTCGTTCAATTAAAATTCATATTATGTTACGGTACGTATATGAAAAGCAAAAAAAAAAATACCGCAACAATGCCATACGACGTATACATACAGATACTACTATGCAGTTTTCTTTCGACACGTCATTATGTAATTAGCGGCGAGTTATATTATACACGTACGCGTACGTGTATCGTTACAACACACAACGAAACTCCGGCGGCGGCCGTAATATTATTGCCGGGTGAAATAATGATACAAAATGAAAAATCATCTTATTCGGATATGATAATGTATCCGATGGTAACGATCTTTCTCGATACGTTGTATAGTACGATGTACCGATCATCCGCGTGCAGCTGGATCATTACAGGAGTCGCGATAAATCACGACTTCTTCTTCTTTTGCTCTACGCCGCGCGCCATTTTGCGCGTAATTGACGAATGCTTTATTGCTCATTACGTAAGCTGCGACTTATGATAAAAGTAAAAAGGATCAAAATAATCCTATACCTACCCCCTTTCTAGCCCCTACCCCCACGCCAGCTAGCGCGCGATATTATATTCCTCCGACCGTTTTATTAATGTCTGTACGATACCCGCGCGTCTCGTTCAACCTGCGGATCGAGATACATGAAATATATGTACGAGCATACTACCCTGCTCGTCTATCCGTGCCGGTGCACCGACCGCGCTCGCGAAATACCAAGGAGCTGCTGCGCTCAAACCAGTTATAGATTTTTTTCGCGGGGCTCTCTCCGGCTTATTTGTATATTATAAGACACGCGCCGTGTGGCGTGCGTATACGACGTTATATTATTATGTATGCAGGCAGGCAGGCAGCAGCCGCCCTTTTCCGGCATATCTCTCGCGACTCTCTGTCCGTGTACTATATACGTCATGTGTACTGAGCTGCTACGCACGAGAGCGCAATAAACATTCGGCTTTACAAGACAGTAGCCTTTCGACGTGCGGCTGGATTTATTATATTACAATAAATGGTATTATTTGGGTGACAGTAGTTGTCCTGGTAGAAATGCTCGGTCTCTTGTGACTGTAGTTTTTGGGTGACGAAAAAATTTCTTCGACGTACAAGAATGCCATTAGAACTGGACACTCACAACAAAAGAGTAATGCAAACGATTATTTTTATACTCTGTCAAGCTTTATACGATTATTTTTGCTTTGCCGTTTATAGATTTGCGGATATATATGGGTACTCGCCATCTAGTGGCGAAAGTTCGTGGTGGTATCGCTATTGCAAGCGAAAGAGTTTAAAAAAACTGTTCGAACGAAAGAGTTTCTTAGACATCCAAGGGGCCGCTCGAGCTTGACATATGCTAACCATGCTACCGCATAACAAACCGTCCGGGTGTTACGAGTTCATATCTCTTTGGCACCTTAAATTGTCTTTCACCTACTTCATCTATACTGTATAACTTGTACAATTATTTTGACTTTGCCACTTGTAGATTTACAGGCGAAGGTAGGTAGACATGTAGCGTTAAAGGTTCAACGTGTTATCGCTATATTATGAAAGCGATTGAAAATAAGACAAAATTTATGAAACTATTAATATGTTTTTTTCAAGACATCAAATACACATTTTATATTTCAAACATGGCTTGTAAGTACAGATGGTACTTTTTCCAAACCCGTACTTTCTTATACAATTATTTTCACTTTGCCACTTGGAGATTTACATTTTTGAAGGTACTGGCCACCTAGCGGTAAAGGCCTAAAATGGTATCAAATGTCGTATTCAAAGTGTTCGAATGAAACTTGTTTAAATTTATTTGAAACAATTGAATTGTACCTTCGAGTTCATTTACAATAGGTTTAATATTTTTTAGCTAATTGTAATAGAAAAATTACCGATATTTTCACCGACTCAACTGATTACTTTTTGATCGTTGGGTCATTTTGAATATTGAGCATCTTTACGAGGGTTATCAAATCGAATAATTCAATAGATCGAAAATCGATGAATCGCATATATTTTTCAGAAATACAGCTTATATCTCAGGTATACAGTGTACACCGGTCTATCTATATCTATTTTGCCTCGCTCGAGCAATCGCAAGGACGATTCGCAAGAGCAGATCCGGAAACCGCAACGGATAGAGACAGAGCCGCGTGTCTAATGCCATAACGGATGGAGATTTTCATCTCTCTACTGGCTCGTTCTTTTCCTCCTCTATCTCTTTATTTTTTTCATTTATATCTATATTTTTTTTCTCTTGCATTTCCGCCCTCTCCTTCTTCTGGCTCGGCGGTCAGAGCACAAGTCATGTACAGTACATGTGACTAAACTTTTATGTAATACGGTTTGCGCTCGCTCGAGTGGCTATTATGTATAGTCTACTGACACATCTTGATCTTTTTTGGCCTCGTGCCGATTTCAGCAAAGAGTGCGTGGCGCATATAGTACAACAATCGTACGCACCGATCGCAACAGGTATATAAACACATTATACCGTCGCGTAGCTGCGCTACGTTGCGTTAAATGCGATCCTCGCGTGTAATAACTCTCCGCTGTGTGACTACTATACTGTCCAACCTCAAGTCGTCGTTGTAGTTGTTGTCTTTTATTTCTTTTTGCATCAAAACGGAAGTTACGAATGCACATGAAAAAGAAAAACAATAACAACTCATATACACGCGGCTATTGTTTTTTTTCTGTTTTATTTTCATTTAACCCCGAATAACCAATTGTACTTTGCGCTACACTCTCACATTGTGCAGTCTCTACCTATACATAAACGAGGCGGGTGTCGCGGGATCGTGCTCGTCGTGACACCGATATACTTTCTCGTCATCTTTGCCCACCGCCACGCCGAGCGATCTCTCACAGCTGATATAATCCATATATTTCCTCACACTCTCGATATCTCTCACCTCTGCACACGTATAAATGTATGCTCGCGCGCGCCCATGTGTTCGGGGCCGCGCGCAATTGTATTGTTTGCATCTCGCTCGTCGGATCTCGCGCGCGCGTGCCATGCCACGCCGAGCTGATCGAGAGAAAGAAAGCTCCCCCGTGCGATGCATATATAGCAGCCTCTCCTCCTCTCGTGGGAGTGAGAATACGTTTCGGACCACGTGTATCTTTAAAGAGGCCTTATGCAACTTATATACGGCGCGACGTGTATTTACTCCGGCGGCCTCGAGTGTAGTAATTTGTATCTCCTTTTTCGTTGGCTATATACATGCATGAAATCTAGACTTTCAAGGGAAGAAGCCGTTGTGCCTTTTGATAGATAAAAAATAAATAGGAGGAAAAAAAATAAACGCGGCAAATCTTCGCGCGACTCGACTCGTCTCGTGCTCGGCTTACATAAATGCATGAACGAATACGCGATGGACCTGGTTGCTGCTCCATGCCTATATGCCGGTTATGCTAAACGTGGGCTCGCCTTTATACATGCGCGATCTTACATGTAAACGATTAGGGAAAATCTTATCGTCGTCGTCGTCGTCGTCGTCGTCGTCGTTGTCGTACAGCTCACAGAGATATATAGTATTTGCCTCAACTTTTTTTTTGCGAAGACTATGTACAGAAGAGTTTCGAGATGTATGTATGTAACTAGATCGGCGTTGCCCTGTCCTCGCGCCTAGATATATATTATTCGCGCATATATAATATCGAGTTCAATGGTATAGACAGAGAGAGAGAAAACTAAAACAAGACACTATAATGCATAATATATATAGTCGACGATGCACGACAACGACGGCATCGTCTCCTGCTGCTGCTGCAGCGATATATATTTTGAAATATATATTATATACATAGCTGCGATGATCGTGTGCCAGACAAGAACATATTTTCATCCCAACTCTTTTTTTTCTCTACCTCTTTTCATGCACAAGAATGCGGGGAAATTTTGTCATTCCTCGCCGCTGCCGCTCGCCACGATGCGAGATTGGTAAATATTAATATGCAATCAGCTGCGCTAACTGGCACTGGTCGTCGTCGAGAGAGCCAGTCAGAGAGAGAGAGAGAGAGAGAGGCGCCGCTTTTGGCATTCCAGTATATATTAGAGATTTATTAAGCGACTCTTGGAGGCTCCACGATACAAGTCTTGTTTGCCATCGCATTAAGTGAGCAATATAAATAATATTAATTATGTCTGGCGCCAGTTTCGAATCATGCAGAGAAAAAACAATTAAGGGTTGGCTTACGCAAAACCAGAAAGGAATATGATAGTTCTAACCGTGGCATCGACGAACGCTTTGACTTTATACAATTATTTTGACTTTGTCACTTGCAGATTTACATGTTCGAAGGCACTCGCCATCTAGTGGCGAATGCTCAAAGTGGTTGCATTGAAAATTGGTCTTAATTTTTAGAAACAATTGATTTCACGTTTTTTAAAATGGGCTTAATATTTAAAATATAATTGTAACAGAAAAAACAATTAATAGTAATCTATTTCAAACCACTTTAAATAGTCATTTTTTAATGAGAGGCACGAGAGTGAGAAATAAATATTGCATACAACGATAAGAAATACAATAGAGACGCATATTGAAAAAACTCGTCGATGCAGCTCGTTCACCACATCCCAACAGACACCGCGCCAGGTGACACGCACGAGCTTCGATATGACGTACCTGCGACGATGATTTCACTCGCGAAAAATGTCTAATGTATTTACTACTTGAGCGCGTATACGTACACGTTCACGAAGAATAAAAAAAACACACGAAAACAATTTTTTATTATTTTTTCCATTTTGTAAATCCTCGACGCTGACAAAATTTATCCAAGCGAGGATGTGCAAGGACGGAGCGAAAAACTGTATCGTAAATCTGACTTAATAGCCGCACGGACACACTCGGGCGCGAAATTTATAACTCTCGAATCGTTCGACTGTATGGGGGAGAAGAAAAGTACAAGTCGACGGTCACGCGGAGAATTGAGAAGCATAGGCACAGGAGGTGAAGACGAACTCGGATGAAAAAAAAAGAAGTCAACAATA